GAGTGTGGAGATAGGGGGGTTTCTGAGAACTTCCATATAATACAGGTTATGCTATTAGTTTTGCTAGACTTTTTTAATAGAATTATCCTATAATACTTTAGTTTAAAATTTTAATAAAAAACCACAATAATTTAAAATATAGTTTTAAGTTATCATATAACAGAAATAATAGAAAAAATACATATATTTTCAAGGAATTAGATTATAGTGGTGATCATATTATCGACAAATTTCTCGATTTCTTTTTTGAGTGGGGCACAGGGGCACGTTACAAATGTCTGAAATACACACATATGCGTATACTGATATGGGTCACAATACACATAAACATACACGTGTATGTGTGTTGTGACCCAAATGGCCATATCAGTATAGCATTTGTAACGTGCCCCTGTGAGTGGGGGGATTATAATGTTTTATTTTATTCAGAATATCATATCTAGAAAATAGTTAAAGAGGTTATAGGAATTATGAAATTTGTAAACGATTCCAGATATTATAATTTAATAATTGTGTACATGCATGCCTGAACCGGTTTTCTTGGCTGGTTTGGGCCTGGCGTACAAGAATTTACCTTACAATTCAAGTGATCAAGCGTCTGGTTGAACGAGACTAATTGTTTACATGGTGGCTGATCATGAAGATGTCCTGTTTTGTCTGAGATAAACTTTCGACTCTTAAGGACTGCTGAACTTCAGAACGAATGATTAAGTGGAAACACATCACGGTTATGATATTATCTCATCACACCGAACAATTTTCTGGAGTATAAATGTGTTTTCTGGTAGGTCACAGTATGTATACCTGGCTGCAGATCTGACGTCTGCTCACAACAGGCTGGGCACAAGTAGTACTAATATTAATACCCGGCCTCCTCTGCCCCGGCCGACGCAATATATAAAAACAATCTCTCGTCGTCAGAAAGCTTCGTTATCGCAGCTAGGACACAAGGTGTTTGAAATGTTGACTGTAAATTTTAGATAAGATATATATATATATGGATATAATAACACGGAATTAGATCCGTGGTTATAGATGTATATATCTATAGTATCTATGTTAGATAATATATATATATACATTATGTATAAAATAATTAGATTATATATATACATGGTGCCGTAGATCGATATCGTAACATATCAATATAGTATCTATGTTAATTAGAATTTATACACAGGTGCGTTGATCGAAAACAAAAAGCTACAACAAGATGTTAATGTATAATAATAATAAACTTTATTTATTGAGGATAAAATACGTGTTTAGTCAAATGCTAATCTTCGCTGGTCCTCTTGCAATTTGTTAGTAAAATGCATGTGTTAGATAAAATACATGTGTTAGATAAAATAACATATTTACGCAAACGATATATTTAAGGAATGACCAAGATTTTGTTTCGGTATATACCGTATATACCAAAACAAAATCTTGGGCATTCTTTATAATTTAATTTTAAAAAAGTAGACAAACACGTTGTAAATGCACAGTTTAAGATTTATTTAATTTTTACGTAAACTAAACAATTGCGCTAAAAAAAAAGCTGCGTTGTAATTTTGCATTCTGAAGTGTAAAAAGTAGTTCCGTCATCAGTTGTTTTTCTTTTTAGGTATATATACGATATATACCAAAAAAAATATTATGGGGGAGATAGGCAGAATTAAATTTTATATATATATAAACATGGTTATCTTGCTAGTAAAATACATGTGCTAGTTAAATATATAAAGTTATATTACAGTTACCTAGCTTAGTTAAGAGTATCACAGATTAATGCATAAAGTTTCATGCAAAGGTGTTGCATTAATTAAATGGCATGTGCCTAATAAACATACATGCTAATATAGCAAACAATAAAAATTGACATAGTTATAAGCTTAAATATAGCATAATCTTAAATATTGATATAATTCAGATAAGAAGTCTATTTAGAAAATAGCAAGTTTTGGTTTCATGCAGAAACATGTTAAAATCTTAGACATTGATATACAATATTTAGTAAGTTTTCGTTTGAAAGTGGTGGAATTGTCTATTTTCTTTAGGTCACTGTGTAAAACATTCCAGTCGTTTATACTGTCAATAAGGAAGTGTCCGGAATAAAAAAAACAGTTCTATGTTTTGGCACTTTGAAATTATTTTCAATAGCACTCGATGTTATGTGTGTTGCATTTTCGTGAGAGAGAGAATGTATATATATATATACTTATAATTGTTAATGTATATAGTTCTACTTCTTTTTCAGCATAAGTAATTTAATTTTTTCATTAACGACTTAAAATATACTATAAAAATCAATCTATAACGCGTTCTGCTAAGTTACATTCTTCCATGGACTTCAATAGCATCTAAACCATTTCCAAGCATTTCAAACCAACTTAATCATTTTCGTTCTTCATCGTTGAAAGTTTAAAATAGCTGACATTTATGCTGAATATATATCAATATGTTTAGGGTAAGAACAGTAATTTTGCTTCTCAACTGTTGAAGCCCGGGCAAAAATACCTATTGTGTAATATGAAGGGCAGAAACTTGATTTGCACATCATTTGACATATCTTTTACTTTTCACAAATTGATTGACAATCTCTTTCATCAACATGCAATTTAATGTTTTAAAAATATATTATACAAACATTTTTTTTTTTTTTAAACAATTGCAGTCTTAAGGTTACATGTTCCTAATCAGTAATATTTAAGTGAAACTGGCAATAATTACTACCGCCACTTTCAAAAGATCAGATATCGTTCAATATAGGTGCCCCGGTCCAAATGAGCGGTTGGGGTGATACAGATTTTTTGGGGGTGAAATGAACTAAAAATTAAGGCAATGTGAAAAAAGCTGGGGCGAAATGGTTTCTCTGTCTAACTTCGNCAAAAGGGACTCAATTTCGTATAAACAGCGAGTGTGGCCCCCCTGGGGGCAGGAGGGAGGGGCCCAATAGGAGAAACATAGCAAATTATTCAAAATCCTTCTTCTTCGGTAGGAATGACAGGATTTTGTCCAAATTTGGTATGAAGCATCCTTTGGTGAAGGGGAAACAATTTTGTATAAACGGTGTGTCTGACTCCCCTGGATGCAGAGAGGGGGGCCCAATAGGGGAAATAGAGGTAAAACCTTTAAAATCCTACTTCTACCAATGAGATAAGGGATTTTATCCTTATTTTGTCTGGAGCAACCTTGGGCAAAGGGGACTCAATTTTGTATAAATGGTTGGTATAATATAATGCCCCCCCCCCTAGGGATAGAGGTGGGGCTCTGTTTGAAGTTTGTTCTCGCTTTATTTGAAGTACTGGATGGATCTTTCTCAAATGTCATATGTACTTATATTAATTACAGCACCTACCATGGAGTGCTATATCTTTACTTCATACCAATTATTTTAAACATATTCAGGTGAGCGATACACTAGGCTCCTTGTTAACATTCAGCATTTAGTAGCACAATTTGTTTAAATATCGCATTTCTGTGATCAATCGATATGTTTCATTAAAAATGGTATTTAAGCAATAATGCAAACCCTGATACTATATAATAATATAACAAAGTTGTGTTGAACTTTGAATTTTAATGTTTACTAGTATGTAAAATAACCATTGAAGCTGTCGACTGCTCTCCTATTTCTTTGTATATTATAATTCCTTTGGTGGAAATGTCGATATTTTAGTATTTAATTACACAATAATACATGGTGAATGAACCATGCAGTGAAGGTAACGCTTGTCCTTCCCAACACCGAGTGCTTATGTATCAAATTTATTTTTCGTTTCTCTCATGAGCCTATCGTTATCGTATGTAATTTTGTTCCTAAATTAACAAGAATTAAACAAAAACACCACATTTGACACAATGTAAAGGATATTTGTGGCTTGGCGTTACAATATAAACACTTCTAGGCTGTTAAAATATCACATTTGACAATGTGTGTTGTTTGTAATGTATTTCACTTTAAATCAGACTTTCTGATTGATCGATTTAGTTTAGGTAAAACATGTCATTTTGTGACATAAAAAACAAATATCAACTTTATCTGTACTGTTAATTTTGTTTTTCAATGGTGTCAAATCTAACAATATTGATCACATAAATGTACTATGTTTTGTTTCAGACTACGAAGATACTTTTCATCATGGCTGCAAATGTGACTCCCGAGGTAAAATCTCTCCATAACACAATGGTGTTGCTCATTGGTAAAGAAATTTTCGGAGAAACGTTGGATACACTAAAAGAATCATTTAGGGATAATCCACTGAGTTCAGCCGATATATATGGAATTAAAAATATCCCATCACTCTTCGAACGTCTAATGGTTTACGAAACAATTGATTATGGAGATTACCAAAAGTTTGTATCTATGATCAGGCACATAAATCCAAAGGTGTGTTCAATGGTACAGAAGTATGCTGAGGATATCAAANTGTTCTTGTTCTACTTGTTTCTATATTAACACGAATTAAACAAAAAACACCACATTTGACACAATGTAAAGGATATTGGTGGCTTGGCGTTACAATATAAACACTTCTAGGCTGTTAAAATATCACATTTGACAGTTGTTTGTAATGTTTTTCACTTTAAATCAGACTTTCTGATTGATCGATTTAGTTTAGGTAAAACATGTCATTTTCTAACATAAAAAAACAAATATCAACTTTATCTGTACTGTTAATTTTGTTTTTCAATGGTGTCAAATCTAACAATATTGATCACATTCTATGTTTTGTTTCAGACTACGAAGATACTTCATCATGGATGCAAATGTGACTCCCGAGGTAAAAGATCTCCATAACAAAATGGTGTACAACATAAGTACCAAGATTTTCGGAGTAAAGTTGAAGGCAGTAAAAGCACTATTTACGGATAATCCACTGAGTCCAGCCGATATAGCTGGGATTAAAGACATCCAATCACTCTTCAAATGTCTAATGGATTACGAAACAATTGATTATGGAGATTACCAAAAGTTTGTATCTATGATCAGGTACATACATCCGCGCGTATGTTCAATGGTACAGAAGTATGCTGAGGAAATCGAAAAACTGCAGGGTAACCTAGACAACCAAGGTAGGCTATGGGTGTTTTCAAATGATCACTATAATAGAGAACCTACAAATAACCACTTTGTTATCGAGATGCATATCAACAGCCTTAACAAAAGCATCCTGGACTACGTAGTCGTAGCTGCTTTCTTACTATCACTTATATTGTCATCTTAAAATTTAGGAATATTACGGATATGTCAGCATGTGTGGTTTTCCAAAAAAATGAAAAGGAAAGAAAACATATCAGGCCGTTTGATTTCCAGATATTCTTCTGTTCTAGTAATTCAGACTTTGCTCATATATATTGTGTTAAAGTTTAATGTTAAACTTTGTCCCATCGTGGAGTTTGGGGAGGTGTGAAAAGAGCACGATATTACTGTAGCTGCCATTGCTTTACAGAATTAATTTCTCGCCCAATTCTAATGAAACTTGTACACGTTTTGATAGTTGTTATTATATTGAACGGTGTAAAGATGTTCAAAAAAAATAACATTCTGCAATAACATCGCAACGCAAAATTTACGATTTAAGTGTTAAACATTAAGTGTTGACATTGCCTGGAGTTTGATAAATTTACACTGAAATGACTACAAACTTTGTCATTTTCAGTTTTTTAGCTCATCTGCATGCCAAAAGTAAGTTTGAAAGCTGCAAGGTGGCTGGATCAGTGGTATATAGATTATCTCCCCTTTCAATTAAATTTCAGTCAATGAAAACAGATAATCAGGTGATTTGATGAATCATTTAAGTAAAAGAATCAACATGGCTATTTTGACATAACATTGATATAAGGTGTTTGTGAGTCAGAAGACAAGTACCTGTACTAGTTCTCTATACATGTAATGATATCTACTAGTGCACTACATGTATTATGATTCATGGTTTGGAAATAGATTTGTCAAGTTCAGATTACAACATGAGATAAATAATTAGTAAGAAAATTGTCTGTAATAAATAGTTTATTTAAAATTCAATCAGCTATGCCTTACTTATTTAATATAAATGTCTTTACAGAAATCCATCCTGACTTAAAACCCATGATAGGTGAGTCTTATCTACTGGATTGGGCATGGTTAGAGAAGAAATGCAGCAGATTTCCTCAAAACTTGGACCAAAACAACAGGCATCATCTAAAGATATATGAAAGAAGTCTTTTACTTCTGTTTGAACAAGAATCTTGGTTCACCAAAAGAGAAGTCTTGATATCCAGATGCATCCCCAATCCGATTAAGTTTATTCCTCCTCTGTTCCTATACACTATGGTATAGGATTCAACAATAAGTACATAACAGGTTATGTTCTGGTTAATGCTATTGCAGCCAATCTTTGAAATGCCCTTCCAAACAGTTTCAATATTTCAAGTACTTGTATAATTGATCATAACTTCTGTATTGAATCAAAGGTTACACCAGATCATATGACCTGTGATGTCATGTCATCAGATCTTACACCACAGATATTGTAGAGGAACAGAACGGAAGCTTCTTTTTTTTTATTCAGATTTGATTTATAAGCTCATCTGGAACAAAGTACCAGTGTGAACTAATGTGGTGGTGCTTCATCTGTCGTCGTCCCTGTCGTCCATCAAATTTCATGTTCAATGACATCTCCTCCCTAAATATCAGACAGAATTTAACCGAATTCTAGCATTTCTAGGCCAAGGCGATCAAAAGACTTAGAATGTAGTGGCTGACCCCTTACCGGCGTGCTGAGAGACTGGGACCAAAGGACTTAAATTTTCTGACTTGCATTAAATGACGTCTTCTTATACAATTATCCCCCAGAAACGAAGTAAGGGGGTATACTGGAATCACCCTGTCCATCCGTCCGCAGTGATTTGTCCTGAAAACTCCATTTTAACTAACACGCAGATTTTATTGAAACTTCACTTAAATGACCTGTTTATTATGTACTTGTGCATCGGCATTTTAATTTCATATCGCAACACTTTTATAAGGGAGTTACGGCCCTCTATGCGAAATAACATGTCCGGAAACCCAAAGGTCAAGGTCACTTAATGATGTATAAACTACCAGCATCTGCGGGTATAAGTTATCCTCCAGATGACAGTTCTAGTTAATTACTGTGTAGATACCAACCAAATTGTAGTGGTAGCATACTTAACTCATTGGGATAATAAGTATAAAATAAAAGAGCTGAAACCTTGGGGGTTGATGGTTTTGATTAAAAGGGGTCAAATTTGAAGATTTTCTTTAAATGACATCTCTTCCTTGGGAAGGCTTTAAATAAATTGTTGTGATAGTGTCTGTGGCCCATGGGGGTCTAATGTAATACAAATAAAGGGTCTGCCTTTCTTGGGGCTCTGGACCCAAACTACTCAGCACATTTCAAGTTGATTCCCCAGGAATAGCCAGGTGAGCGATTCAAGACCATTGGGCCTTTTATTCTGTAATGACTAAGTTACTTCATTCATGAGGCATTGGATTGTTACAGAGGTCTTTTTTTTAATACAATGCTTTCACTAGGGTTTGAACCCAGGACCACTGACTTACTAGTCTGACCTTCTGCTGATTGGGCTAAAAAGATATTCTCTAAAGCTTATTCAGCAGCATGCCAGATCAGTAAAACAGAGGACCCAGGGTGATTTCTAGCAGAAGCATATTATTGGAACATAGCATAATGTAATGTTGAAAGCATTCCAGTGATTAATTTTATTTGACAGCTTAAAATTATATGTTTTGTGTTGTCATACTAAATGTATTTATGACATCATGATCATATATATTTATCAACACACTTTTGATTAGAAATGGTAAAACCTTTAGTATTTTAAAAATAAGTCAATCAAGTTAACTAACCACCAATCATTGGGTAAAATATATGTTACATATCATGACAAGGTTTCTTGTCTGAGCTTGAAACATAATTTGGTCATTTTAGCTGAGTGAGTATTTGAGCCTTATATAATGGCAGTTATTGCCATCTTTTGTGTTATCTTAACCGGTTACATATTTTTTCTTTGATTGGTAAAAGATCAGTTGATTTATTTTTTGATACTACCACTAATTCACTCATTATACTCTTCCTTTACAAATTATTCTTCACAGTATTCTAAAGTAAATTGGAAATGATTCTCTGACTTATAGATTTAATAGGCATATTGGTTTCATTCTATCATATCGATTTCATATAATTAAGACTTTTCCGCCAATATTTCTTTTTTTATATACAGGAACAACCAAAGCCACGATCAAAAAAGAAAAAGAGGAGAAAAAATTCTACCCCACCAAAGGTTTCTGTGATGCTAAAGACAAGCTCCAAAAGAACAGGGTTGTTGTCATCAAGGGAAATACGGGAGACGGTAAAACAGCAATCGCCGTTCAACTCCTTCATTGGCTGAGTCAGGAGCAAGGAGCCGGACAACCCTTACAGCTTCACANAAACACTTTTTCTTGATGATCAAACAGAGACAAATTTTCTTGTCATCACTGTTCGCAATGAAGTATTCAATTCTTTAGAAAAACGTTCTTTGGGAATGATTTTTACCGAAGACAACTTAATTGATCTTAGCTCTGATACATACAAAGTTGAAGAAGAGAAAAAAAGACTATTAGAGCTGTATAAGCCAGAAAACGTTTCCTGGTCAGAGGAAGAAAAGGAGCAAATTTTAACTAGCGCACCAAACATTGGATTCCCGCAGTGTTGCCAGCTTTTCTACAATTCTAAAAAATTGCAGAAAGAACGAATCAGATTTTTTGAAAATCCTTTTCATTTTTTGAATGAAGCATTGTCAAGATTACAAGAATGTTCTGCCCTTTTGTTTCTCTTCCTCAATGATGGTATGATAAGTGTAAAAGATCTTGATCCAAACAGTCAAAAAGTCAACCAAAAATTGCTGGAACAAGCTTTTGGTATCAATTTAATTGATGGTGAAAAAGACAGTACCAAATTGACAGATATGAAAAAACTAGGATATGTAAAAGAAAGTTTAGAAAAATTGTTAGGATTTTTAGTAGTGAAGGAGAAATATTGGCGGTCTGGTGAGGATGTGTACAGATTTAATCATGATTCTATTTATGTTGCTGTGGCACTTTTGTATGGAAAAGCCACACTGATTGGCTACATACAGAATTGTCCCAGCAAATCCCTCAGTTATCTAACAACCTCAGACACAGCTACAAACATGATTGTCATATCATCTGATCAGTATACAGAAATGTGTGAGCGTCTACTCCGAGAGTTTGAATGTGCGACGTATCTATATGGTACTAGTATTGGCTCTCTAGATGTATGGAATGATCCTGTATTTGTTAAAAGATTTGTGAGGTTTTTGAATGACAGAAAAGTTGATAAACTTGATGCGTTGAATAAAGCATGTTCTTCTGGTGCAGAAGAATGTGCTTTATA